ACACAATCAATCAATCAATCAATCAGACCTTGTTTTTTCAAGTTTTTTGTTTATTTATTTTCAAAATTTGCATCTTTATTTTTCTAAAACACCTCATAACCCTGCAAAAAACAGAAATTCATTTATAAAAAATACAGGTGAACTCAGGGACCATATATCTGATGATAAAAAATGACCAAAAAAAAATCCAGCTTTTCTTTATACATATTTTTTTAATTTTCTTTAAATCGAATTTAGTTTTTGATTTTTTAAAAATCCTAAACAAAGTCGGATTCCAAAAAAAAAAAAAAAGTTGTTGGGCGTAAAATTCCCTACAACCCCATTTTTTTATTTTTATTTTTTAACCTATTATTTAATTCAGTAAAATTCTTGTAAAATCGGGTCCGCGTAGCAGACCAGGTCGGCCGCGGACGCGGCCCCATCTGCGTCCGCCATCCGAGATTGGACCCGCGGACGCGTTCGCGGGTGTTTCATAGGCTCCTCCCTCAAATAGAATCATAAGATAAGGACCAATCCCACGTCATCTTTCGGATCTAAATGCCAACCAGCAATAAAAAGACTTATCCAAATATATGTATATATATATATGTATATTAGATACATACACATATCAACATACCTGAAGAGTATCCCTCACACCAGCAAGCATCATTTCGTCTAGCCAGAAGAGGCACGTAATTTCCTTTCAACATTCATATACGAAACAGATTCACGGTGCCCAACCTCTTGCCATAGTCACTATACTAGCAGTAGGGAATCCGAGTCACATGCCCGTCACCAATTACAAGGAGCATCAAGATAACTATCAAGAAGGCCAGACATGGTAAGACCAGAGTTACGACACCACCTTCCCTGCCATCACGCAGGATATGCAATCAACACCTCTCATTATCCTCCGTCATTATCGAAAAAGTAACAATCAATGAGGATGCCATGAAGGCGACGAAAGTCAGCACAACGATCCTTTTACCTCAAGCTTTCGTTCGAAGCATCAGCCCTGTCATCCATACACCAAACTCCTCCATTGCCTTTCAGAAGTGATTGTCATCGAGTCCTGCCTTAATATTTATTTGCTAAACGAGTCCACGACATCTAATTCCTCACCCATAGCCGTTACAGTAGCAGCAGGGAACTCGAGTCATATGCACATTATCGATTAGAAGAAGCATCATGACGGTTTTTAAAAACGTCAGGTAAGCAATGACCAGGGTTATATCACCATTCTTCCTCCGACTATGAGGAACATGCAGCCGACACACCCCATCATCCTCAGCGCGATTATCCGACCTCACCAAAAACATTACAACCCACGAGGATGGCATGAAGACAACGAAGGCCAGCACAACCACCTTCCCCACTCGAGCCCACCCTCGAAATACCAGCCCGGCCATTCCTATGCCACACACCTCCCCCGACTTCCAACAGTGACAGAGAAGTTGTTATGCAACAAAAATTGACAACAACAAGCCCTCAGGCGAGCATCCTCCAATTGGGAAATGAAAGCTAGATATCCAAGAAGTACTGAGCAGATGATGACGATGCCAAAAACAAAGATAGCCCCTTCCATTTATCACGAATGCCTCAAGATGCCTCAGAAGCAGCCACAATGACGATGCCAAGAACGAAGATAGCCCCTTCCATTTATCACGAACGCCTCAAGATGCCTCAGAAGC